TTCTTGCCGTAAATCTCGGCGTGATCAAGCCCGTGGTACGGGTCTGGGGCCATTACCACCGCACACCTGGGAGGCACTCAACAGTAGTCGAATTCCCACTCGAAAACATGGCGCAGGTTAGAGGGTTAGATTCGCTTGGAAATGAGCTAGCACACAAGCAAGTATCAAGACTGCTGCTCTTTGCACTCAGAGCAGGACGCCCAATCGCGTGCACGAAGGGCCCACTGCTCACGGCATCTGACTCTAGATGTGTTCGGGCCAAAACAGCAACTGCTCGAGAAAGCAGCGTGATGGAGGCATCTATACATCTATGCCATCTATGCATTAACAAACTGCCCTAGCTTCCCCACGGCTGAACCTGAGAGTTCACCCCGATACTTCTGCACTCTCTTTGTTCAAGTCCTCTCCTGTCCCTCTACCTTGCGTTCCTTAAACGAGCACCCTTGCTTCTCTGCGCTTTGCAGTGGAGCCTCTGCTGAACCTATTGAAATGAGCTCGTCGATACAATGAAAGATGATCTTCGCCGCCAACATCCTCTCACAGACGGATTGGTTGGCTTCAAGGCGCGAGCATTGGACCCCAAAGGCCACCTCAAACGCAAGAGGTGGGCGATGAGCTTAACGTTGCCAAGCATCTTCCTCACATCATTGTCTTCCCGGAAAAGCCACACGACGCTACACATTGCAGCAAAGCATCGTCTTGTACTTCACGAGCATCTCATACTGGTCTTCGTAGTCAAGACCTGGGTCGCTGAGACACCGGTCAGAAGTGCAGCGTTTAGAGAGAGACCATATGAACTGGAACACTGCATGATCAAGAAGTTTCCAGCCATGCTGTGTGCAACATGCAATGGGAACCCTCAGTTTGCCGCACGAGTCTATCTGCGGTGGTGCTAGATGTGTGGTGAACGATTCCTGGCTCCAGCGAGCATCGGCTTTTGTCGACAGCTAAAGCAGCTCAAGTTTAGAGCCCACGAAGATCTCACACACGACCGGCCTGACACTGTTCGAGAAGTGCCCTTCTGAAGTTGACCTCGATCCCTCTCTGCTTCAGATCCTCAGCAATGCTCTGAGTTACCGAACCCACGCCCCCACAAGCTGGACTGTCTTCAGCTGGAACAACTGGTTGCGGTTACGCAGAATAAAAAGCCAAAGTGTCTGCATCAAGCCGGGCACACAAGCCGGCGTAAAGCTCGATAAAGTGGTGCTGAAGCGTAGCCTGTCACGTGCAGGTCTCTGATTTGTCTGCAAACACCCATCTCCCCCAAGCCTTCTTGAAGACGTCCCGGGCAATGACCTGATAGCGACGGACACTCGCGGGAAATCTCGCCAGAAATTCAGACCTGCCTCGACCGTCTTGGGTCGAGTGTCTTGATCATCCACTGTGCAGTACGACACCAAGTCGTCGTAGAGCTTGTCAAGCTTCTCCCAAGTTAACCTCAAAAGAGTGAAAGAGGACGGTAGCCGAACGACCCAGACATTGATCAGAAAGAGAAGCTAGGACTCTCCGAGTCCCGAGATCTCACTTGCCGAGAAACTTGTTGAGGATGGACTTTACCTGTCTAATGCAGTGCTCAAGGGCACCATACGAATGCAACGCGACAAAACTTGTCGTGCCAACCGTCTGCCTGCCGCTCCACCTTCTGCATCTCGGTCAAATCTTTGCCGATGATGCTTAACGGTGACGGAGGCGGCTTTGCAACCGTCTTCCTCATACAGAGCTGAGGCATCCCGCATCTGAAAAACCCGATCCCATCAAAGTCTTCTAAAGAATGCAAGCCGAGATTCGGTTTGGGCACAGGCGCAGAGAACGTCCGCACTGGCCGGGAACTCGTGCTTCGCCAATTCAACTCGTCGGAGCGTCCCTGGTTGAAGCAAAACATATCACGGACACCCGGTGGCCTACGGACTCTACAGGCTACGCGTTGCGATGCTGTGGCCATTCTGCTCCTTCTCCTTCTCTTTGGTGTAGCTCCGCTGTCCACCTCAAGCCAGCACTTGCACTTAGTCCCGGCTCCGTTCTCCGCTTGACAACCAATACTTTCTCCTGTGATGGCCAGGCACTGGATGAAGTGTCTGAGCGCTTCAACTGCGATGATGGTAAAGACTGTGATCGCTTCAACTCCGACTCATCCGGATCCTGCTGCTGACCTCAATCCCAGCATTTCGAAGCAGTGCCCGGGTGCGAGCGCAGCCGCGAGCGATAGAGTTCAAGAAAGATTGCTTCCTGGCAGAGCCAAGCAGCTGTCCTGACACTCCGCCTCCCTAGCTGGAGCTGGAGCGTGCACCTGGCAAAAACAAGTGCTGGGCTCTTCTGCACAGCCGACCCTGCTCATATTCTCAGGCAGGACACTGGAGACGACGAGCATGTGCTGGTGGTTCTAGGCAGTACCAAATCCTCACGAGGCAAAGGCTTGCACACACGCGCCGGACGAGAAGCCGAGAACTAACCTGTCCTCACGGGATATTGGCTTGTTCTTTTTGTCCTGCTAGCGGTCCAAGCTATGCAAAGGCAAAGCTCACACATAATCACATCACCGGGCACAGATCGCATGATCTGCTGACAGTTCGCATTGGGGAATCCGCGCTCGCAACCTCTTCACGAACACACAAACATTTACCCAGTCCTACCTTCCACCTTGCTCATTCCTACCTCACCAAGAAGACAAACACGTGCTCGCTTGCTACAGTCTTCGAAGACTACAGGCGCCGGCACATGACATGACACCCCAGATTGCGTCATACCAGGGCGACAGTGCACTGCCACAGTTGCACTGCACAAAGTGACACGTGTCCTTCTTGCTTTCGATCATCATGCCCACAAGGGCAAATCTGAGTCGGCGGTCTGTGACCATCACGCGGAGAAGCACTATCATGTGTTGAACCACGCTCTTCCTCAAGTACATCTGCAGCCACGGAGCATTGAGCCTGCCACCGTGGCAGCAGCACATTTTGCAAGCCTTCACGGAGTTCAAGGTACGGCAGAACATGTTAATGGACTGGCGTGTGAGGCTAGAGGAGCTTACAGTCTAATTTCCAAGCGGAAACGACCAGACCTACTAGTGATGAGGCCTTGAGGCATCCAACAGCACTGGCACGCCCTATGCTTAACACAACAATGGCCCATGCAACCAAGATGCGAGGAGTACGCCGAGAACCCGGGTGGCACAACTGAATCTGCCCAATGTTGCCCTGGCACGCTGAAGGGTTGGACTGAAACCACAGGTGGCAGTGAGAGATGAGATCTGGCACATGTGCAAGCCGTGCCTACACATGCCTCTGCTGCTTCAGTCTCCGAGCAGTCTGCGTGACAGATGCCCTCAGTTGCTTCAGTAGCAGGATTGTAAACTTGCTGTCCTCAGCTCCTGCTGCCACCTGGTTTATGATTCAGGGCTTCTTCGGTTCCCAGGTGCAGCCAGGGCCAGTGTCGCCAGCATGCCAAACCCTGGGCTGGACATCGCGTGCCAGCCTTAGACTAATTGAAGCCCATCCGTGGACATCAAGCTGAGACTGTTTTGAAGAGATGTGTACGGTCTCTCAGAAGCAGGGCTTCTGGAAAGGTGTTGCAGGAAATCCGTCCCACGCAAAAACAAGTTTACAACAATCTTTTGGGCGCGAAGAGGACAGGGGAAAGACAGTTCCAGGTGCCCGACACTCTTCCGATACTTCCCGTGTGTTGTTCGATGTCTTTTAATTGTAGCGGCACCATCTCGAGGTCTGCGGATTTGGGTCGGTAAATGTTGTACACCTTGAAATGACCTTGGGACTTGCTTAACACCTTATTCGCTCTGTCGCTTTAAAACAAACTTTTTCTAAACTTATTGAAAACTTTGTCAATGTTCCAGCTTTTCACAAGTGGCCGAAACGCAGGGTATCCTAAATCCAACTCTGGAAGCACAAACACCCACAGCAGTTGATTGACACTGGTGGCCAGCAGCATAGCTGCACCCATACACGTGGCATTTAATTTAGACGGCAAACAACGACCTATGCATACAAGCGTCGCCCGGGCAACCGGTTTGCTGGAGTGGACCACTCAGCGGTGGTCTGTGTGGCTCGAGCCAAAACGGACCGCACATAGTTGTGGAATGTGCAAGAGCATGCAGGTACTGATGACATGTAACATATGTTGCAGAAGATTCGCGCATGGAACGACCGATCTGCTAGCAGTCGAATATGCAACCTAGCGGCCGCTTCTGCTGCAGGATCCTGCACCGATCTGTGATGGAAACAAGAGGCTTCCTTGAGGAGCGTTGGGGTTACCGTGACACTTGGTCCTGCTCACTACCGCTACTGCTGCTTGCGCTGCTGCTCGTCCGATTTCGACACACCCACTACGGCGACTACCACAAAAAATGTGACCATCATGACGATGATGATGATGATGATGCTGATGCTGATGCTGAACCTGATGCTGATGGTGATCGTGGTAGTGATGATGTGGATGATGACGACGACGACGGTGCTGCTGCTGCTCTGGCCGACCAGCTGCTGAGACTGCTAACGAGCATCATGGAACTATCGCCATGATCACTACCACTTGCACTCCACTTACAGTACCAGTTGCCGCTGCGGTCTGTCGAAATAAACCTCCCTTGCGCAGATTGAACTGACCAATGGAAAAAACTAATCAAACCTCTCGCAAGAAAGTCTGCACGCAGGAAACAAGTCACGGAACTAGTCGCGAGTGCCCACGCTGTCGCCACTTGGCGGCTCTGGCTACTGCCAACCACAATCTGTTCATAAACATCTCTGTTGTGATGCCGCAAAGCAACGAAGCCGCCGCAGGAGAATTGGAGTCCAAGAGGTTAAAAGATTAATTGACAAGTCACGCTGCTGAGCTACTGGTATTGTAGCATCAACGGGACATCAGGTGCAGCATGTGCAGCGCGCCCGGTTCAGAAGATGGTTCGGACTGCCTGCGAAGGAAGGTAGTCAGCCATAGTAAAATCAGCTCAACGACGGCCGCTCTTCCCCATCTTGCCCACTGGCCTGCGCACTTTACTTCTGCAGCACCATGTTGTTGAAGCGGTCAACCTGCAAACAGGACACGTATGGGTCCTGGCTTAAAGCAACAGCTGAGACGGGGGCCGCAGGCCTCGGCAGCGGAGCCGATCGCCAAGGCTGTGCGCTGGTCCACGGCGGTGATCTTCATATCCAGCACGCTGTTGCCGGAAATGCCATCGGAGGTCTTGCCCCCGGACATCTCCACGAGGCGTCCAAAAGGAGCCGCTTCGAAGGCCAGCCGGAGCTTGGCTGGCGAGGCTTTGGAGGTCGGATTCGTGAAGACACCCTGTCCCTTGGTAAACTGCTGGCACACGTCCGGAACCAAACCACCCGTGTAGCGAAGGGTGAACTTGTTGGTCATGTAATGCTGGATCAGATTGTTGTAGCCCTCCACTTCCTGAGCTGCTCGCATATTGGCCGGTGCAAAGATCTTGCAGTCTGGCTTGATCTGAATCTTGTCACGCGAGCAGATCCACTTGTTGCCATCTCCCAACGTGAACTCGTAGACACCATCATCCAAGGTTATGAAGACTGTCGTGCGGGGGCCATACAATGCCACAAGGCTCATCACTTGGTCTCGGCCGGTTGCACCAATCAGTCCTGTGGACTTGTCCCACACGCCCACAATGGTCCCTACGGCCCAGTTGTTGTCCACAATCGAGCTGCCGTCAAGAGGATCCCAGCAAAGAACGTACTGGCCATCCTTGTTCGTCTGCACAATCTCGGGCTCTTCCTCAGACGAAGCCTCGTAGACAAACTTCGAGGACTTGGCGAGGTCCCACAGGAGGTTGTCAGCGATGACATCGACCGTGAGCTGTCGATCCCCGAAGGCATTTGAGGCGTCGTTCACGGTCACGAGATTCACTCGCAAGGCTTCGGTGATTGTCACACACGCATCGAGCAACTCGTTCACCATGCCTGTTAGCTTCTGATCCTTCAGTTTCTCTGCCAGCACCTCCTCCAATGTGTCATATTTGTCCTTTGCAACGGCATCTGTGTAGAAAGATGTATGCGATGCGCCATAAGCATCATCTGCCTTGAGCTGCGTTTTGCCCTGCTTTGCCCGTGAGGCACGTCGAGCAGCTAGTGCGGCCACGCCTGCTCCCAAGGCCATGGCCCCAGCCACAGGAGCAGACGAAGCGCCGGGCTCCGCTCTGCTGGCCGCAGTGCGCGTGGGAGCCACGCGGGACTCAGGAGCCGCGTGCTGCACAGATGGAGAGATGAACGCAACGGGTGCCAGCGCAGCTGCGCCAACCAGCATCTTGGACATGCGCGACATGGCGGCTATTGCGAAGGCCAGGGCAGGGCACGTGCTAACAACGCAAGTTAAACCTTGGCTTGGTCCGAGCCCAAACAAGAATCGTAAGATGACTAAAGACAAACACAAGCGCAAAGCAGCATCGCCGAGCAAAACTCCAAGTGCCCAAGACGGACCTCGAAGCGGATCAGAACCACCGTGAGGTTGTCACAACCGAGGCCTAAGAGGGAAGCGAAGCCAACTCTCGGAAAATTGTCGCTGCGCTGCCGATCTTTGCAGTCTTGCTGCCACCTCTTTGTGCAGGTGTACTTGCGCAGCACATGTCCAACAGCCTCTGGCACTGCAAACTGCAAGCTACATTCACACTGCTCCGTGCCCCTGACTGAGACTGAGCCCATGGCTCTGCCAACACAGGTTGCAAGCCTTTCCTGGATCCTCTTCAATTAGGTTTGGACGAGTCTCCATAAAAACAGATCTTAACATGTCCTGGCGGAGGCAGTCTTGTGCGGACGAAGTTGACCGCCTGCTGGTTTGTCACGCATTCCCAAACCTCGAGTTGTCGCACTGCGACAGCACATGCGCTCGTCTTCTTTGTCACGTGAACACGAGACTGAAGAGAAGTTCGATGCTGGCGGCTAAAGACCGGTTCCAGGGTTGAAGGTCTTGTAGAATAGGTAGATTGGCTGGTGATAAGCCGGTTGCACTTCGGACCTGCGACCCGAAAACTCGGCAGCTGGCGCCATCACTGGCGAGGAGAACAAACTCGTCCATGTCGTGCTGCCACTGAACACGCTTCGTATCCGGCACTGCAGATACCAGCCTAAGCAGAATTTGCAGGTCTGGTTGGCCAGTCTGGCAGTAACTGTGGCAGCCAAAGTGGCTGCGCGGATGGCTTCAGCTTCGGATCGCTTTTGTACCGAAGATCTCCTCAGACAGGCGCTGGCGCACAGCGATGGAGCCGAGCTCTGCACAACCAAGTCACCGAGGGCTCGCGAGAGGTTGAGGCCCCTTGGCACAGGCACTGGCATCCCATGGTGCGACGGTTCTCAAAGTGCTGTCCTCTTCTGCCCACGTTCGCAAAGTCTCCGGCCCGTTCACACGGTATTCCTTCCCACTGCCCATGGCTGTGGCACCCTCCTCAAAGCGGAGAATACCAGCTGTGTATGCTTGTTTTTGACTTTACTACTAAACATCGCGGAGGGCCGACGCATCTTGCAGTTCGGTAGCACTTCGGTCCTGCACAAATCCTCCGGCCGCCTCGATCCTGTGAGTCTCCTCAGGCAGCTCAGGCCTCAGCAGCCAAAACCACCACCTTTCCAAGCTTTCCAAGCGCTGGCAAGACGAGAAAGGCGCGGACTTGTGGTCTACGGTCAAGGCAACCTGTCACAGTGGCAAACCCTTGCGATCACGTTAAATTCTCTAGATGGCGGATTGGCAGCGATGCTTGGCAACCCACTGCTTGGCCCTGCCGGCAAAGGACTGCGCGAGAGTCCCCAACGTGGGAGAGGGTCATCTCGTTATCCTCTGGGACCACTAACATCTGGCTACTTGACGGTGCCCGAAAGATGTCATCGAGGCGCCTGGATCAAGCAGCAGACTGCCTGGCAGAAAGCACATCAAAAAACGATAAAACCTTTCCCTCTCAATGCTTCTTTTGCCAAAGTGCTGTGGTGCCACAAGTCTCGGCTGACTCTTGTGGCTCGTTGCCTTTCACACTCGTGGTTCTGCAGTGGTCGCCATGATCTACTGGGTTCAGCCTGGAAGAGTCATTTCCCGAAGTTCCGCCGCGACAGCTGGTTGCCGAAGCATTTCATCTAGGCGCAGATACGCCTGAACACCGATTCCACGCATATGACCAACATCAACAAAACAAAAACTGTCATACCTCTCGCAGGGCCGTTTCTGCATCATGCCCAGGTATGTCGGCCAGGACTTGTGGCAGCCGACGCCTGGGCAACATGATTCTGTCTTTTACTAATTATTGGAATCTTGGCATTGCCTCGGTTCTAGCTTACGGCGAAATCTGCAAAACTGCGCGCGCAAGTTGAAAGAGCACAGTTACCGTTGGAATGCCTCCGTCTTACAGACTGCCCAATCCCGTGCCAATTCCATGTCACACCGGCAAAAGTCGTCACGGCTGCCGTAAGGCTGCCGCACTACAAAGCGAGCAACCTGGCATCCACATCACCGCATGCAGTAGCACGAGCCCCCAAATCGTGCGAAGCTCTGGCACCTGCTCCCCACCATGGCCATCGAACACGCCGAACAAAGCGGAATCTCGCCTTTGCAAGGCATTTGGAAATACTGCTTCGTGGTCCGAACCTTCCAAGCCATGGGCCAGTCGCCGGACAGGTAACCCTTCGGCAACATCAAAGAAGCATCCTTTCACGGGGGGATGACGAGAGTTTCGCCACACAAGGGAACAGCCAAACTCTCCAAATTTCAAACCTCCGAGCTGGTCACAAACAGAATCGCCTCCATGTTTTGTCTCCAGCCGCGCATGCCACAGCACGCCCAAGCCATTCCTTCGCCATTTTTAACTTTCGGGAAGCCACAAGAATAACGCGTCGCTTGCATCTGGCAGGACTAGGCATGGACATCATGTGATTTTCAGCTCAACTGTGGTGGAGGTCGGCCTCGGCTACGCGCCTCTTCACCCACCTGATCATGTAACATCCACGTAGTCTCATTGCACCAAAACGTGGCATTTGACATCGCATGCCTTTTTCTTGTCCGGGCCGGAGGCAAGTTCCAAGGAGTCACAATACACACCTGCAAGCACGATCACAAACCAACTGCACGAACAGATCCCATCAAAACTGAAGCCCGGCCATTGCTGAACTCGACAAAATCGTCACCTTTTATGACAAGCTTGCTGTCGCTTGCTTGCATCGATCTGACCAATCTGGCCAGCAATGACTGAGTGGTGTGCTGACTTGGATGTGTTCTTCTGCCGAATCCACGCCGGTCCAAGCGGTGGCAAACACTCCATCGGTGGCCGACATCCAACTATAAAGCGTGTTTCCTTGCTGATAATGCTTCCTATAATATATCCGAACAAACCCTGAAGTTAAGCTGTTACCATGCCATCGGCTGTAAATGTGCATGTTCTGGGACGTTATAGCCTGCGATGACAATGCTACACGTTCGACTGCATGATGTTGCACTATGATGTTGCCATACCTGCAAGCCGCGTTATACCTTGGAAATGATCTGTGTTCCAGACGGAATGGCGAGATCTACACATGCAAGTTCCTGCCTCCTAATTGAGCTGTGTGACAGCGGAATCAAAAGATGCCGTGGCCAGTGTATTGCAACAATTGGATCAGCAGGCTGGGCAAAACAAACAATGTTTAAGGCTAGGGTTGTCGTCATGCGGGGGCATGCCCTAGAACACACCCTTTTCCTCGAACTTATCTCCATCCGCTCAAAATGCCCTAGGCAAGGACGCAGAGGCTCCGGGCAGAACTCTGGCAGCTCTCTGCAACAGCGATCATGGCACTGTCACGGGATGCAGTCGATGGCTGAAAACGCCCCCTTAGGCGTCAGCGGCAAAACAAGCGTGACGTCGCAGCACGAGGCCTCGCCGGATGAGGTGGCCCCGTACGCAACGAAATCTCGGCAGGGTTAATGTCGGGACATGATGTGCGTGCCAGCCATTTTGGCTCAAGACACAGCAACAGGTCCAGTAAATGCGTCTTCATCTCTTCCTATACAACACAACACTGACATGTTGGCATGCCGACAGCATGATCAGTTCCTCAGGATTTGCGCGTTGTGTATTTCGATATTGCTTACTTCATTGTCGTTCCGTCAAGTGCGCCGTCGTTGTTGCGCTGTGGTCCGCTACCGAGCGCGATAACAAACACGGCGCTTCACCTCACGGCGACATTGCTGGACTGCGGCCCACATCACACGGTCAGACTCCGGCCATGCCATGCCCGTTGTCGCGCACGCCAACAGTGCTGCGCATGAGATGCAGCCGTATTCCTGCGCGAGCGCACCGTTTGCTCATGACAACGCCCTCCACGCAGTGTTTGGAGCTTGCATCTCATGTGCACTGTCCATTCTTCAATATACACCAAGCACGGTCATGGACACAATTGACACACAGCCTGCAAGTCGATGTGACAGACCATGTTGCGCAGTGTGTCAACGTGATGTCATCCATGGATGCACCTCCCCACCGTCAGATGCCTCATGGATTTGGCCGTGTAACTGCCGGTTTCAACTCCGCTTGGCATGTGCCATTCAATTCCGTTTGCGTTCTGGCAGGCCCCGTTGCTTACATTGCCGTGCTCCTTGGCCATCCTTGGCCTGGGGCCTCTTCGGGCGAAGTGTTGCTTCTGCTCTTCTGCGCGTCTCCACGGGCAAACTACATGCTTCGGATGCTCCCGCCTGGCGCGTCTGAGGCCTTTGCCCGCGAGCACGATGCTGCTGTGTGCGCATGCTTTGCGACCCTGCTGTCGCACGACTCCCTGCCTCCGCAACCATTGCCTCACCCTTCACATCGCCTCGCCCAACTCCCTTTGCGGTTTGGTGGCTTCGGGGTGCGCTCGGCAGTCGATGCCGCCTACTGGGCATCCTGAAGCACGTGCGCGGCAGGCAGCCGTGCGTTTGGTCCGCGCACTGCAGTCCTCGACCGAGACCGCGCTGCCCCTCGCCGCAGTGCGCCACGCGGCCGCCTGCCTCCGCGAGCAAGGTTACGACGCTCCCGCGTTGGACGCGCTGCTGCAGCACGGCCAGAGCACGAAGACCGCGAGTTTGGGGACGCCCGGCGGGGCTGGAAGCACCGTGCTGCCCTCGCCGGTGACAAGCGCGAGCTTGAGTTGCTTCTTTCTCACAGTGATGCCTCATCTCGAGCGCTGCTACTGTCACAGGCCGGGCCACACGCTGCGCGTGCTTTCCCAGTCTTCCCAACCTCAGCTGAGGTAACGATACCTTCCCCACTCCCCACTCACTCTTCCGCGTCCTGCTGCTATGACGGCTTCGCCTGCCGCTGCCAGTCGTGCTCGCATCTC